ATAGACGCAGCTTAAGACGCTGGATCAAAATCTATGTTTCGTATCTGCAATGCTTATATTTGGGAGGATCTATGAAAAATCTTCACTGTCGAAAAATTCTACACAACATGTAACTGCTTCACAAGTACCAACTTCAACCTGAAACTACAAGCCAACCAACAATTTTTCTGTGAAGGTCTTATTACATTGATATGCAACTTTAGTGTTGTTGTTTCGGTTTGAAATTACGCTTCCGAATATTTCCATATGCCTTGTAAGTTACTTTAAACGAGGGAAGATGTCTAGAAGTTCTTTAGTGGAGTTGCAGACATGGGAGACGCTCGAATCAACGCTTGGAACTGCATTTTTCAATTTTTTGAATAGCAACCTCGTCTAAGCATTCTCTTGTGAGACGAAGACCAATGATTTCAGATGTTGCTGTGAAGTTGTTAAACTTAATACTGCAACACGATGCAGGAGTCTTTACTGTCTATACTTAAACGTATTTACGCCACCATATATTGATGTAATTAATACTCTATCAAAGGACTACATACTAACTCCTTAGTGTTTCAGTAACCTAATATGAACAACAATATTCTCTGGCTTTTTGGCCCACATTAACATCACTTTTAGATAAACGATGAAAGTCAAAATATACTATCTGAGATTGTAGTGCTTACGTACATAAACACGGAAGAAAACAACTACAGCCTTGCGAACAGCCTCAGATCATAACCAATAACACCATCCACATTTCTCAGGACTATTTCGAGATGAGATTGCGAGCTTACACATGTACATCGCAGGATTATGTAAACATTGTCTTCAGTTTAGATCACGATAACAAGCGTGTTGTAACGAGAAACCCACCTTCAGATACTGACTCTAACATTAATTTCATTACTATGGATCAACTGCCCGATTAACAAAGCAGTCCATAACAAACAAGATTAACCCAAGACATCTGAAAGATCCAGCACATTCCACTTGATACCCAACACAGTTTCTCGCCCTGAGATTACTTCTATGGATAAGTTATATGAAAGGCTTCAATATACACTTGTACACATTGAAACAATTTTTTGTTGGAATTAATTATCAACAAAAACAACGATTCACTTCTGCCTTGCGAGCCTGCACCCAAACATAACAAATTACTTCTGCTCAGCCATCTTTTCACTTTCCGAGATCTTACGAAGAAGCTCGGTTCTCTTAGCGTGTTGCCGTTCTTCTCTTCTCTTACGAGCCTCCTTGTTCTTGTCACGTCTAGCCTGAGCTTGGTCACTGAAATAAAATGTCCCAAATGAAGAAATACAACCAAAAAGAGAGAAAATGGATAAAATAGAGCACTTACGCAAGCTGTTTAGCACGCTTGTTCTCGCTCTTCTTTCGGAAAATGTACTCCATCAAGTGCTTCTTATTCTTGAAATTGTTACCCTTGGCGCGGAGGTAAAGCTCATGGTATAGAGTTCTGTCGATTTTCTTCGATTCGCGATACCTCTTGAGCAGATTACGGAGCACACGCATACGTCTCATCCAGAGGACCTTTTCGGGCATACGAGCATTCTTTGTTCCGTGCCTTTTACCGTACCCAGAGTGTCGTCCCTTCAACTCATCAGGTGAAAAAACAAGATAGAAAGAGATAGCCAAGCCAAAAAAGGAAGAGAAACACTGGAGAACGCTTGCAAAGAAAAATTACCTTTCGGCGTGCCTCCTCATACAAACGAGCACGATAGCGAGAATGCACAACTTCTGGTTTCCGGATAATGAGACCATCCTTGATCAGGCGACGAATATTTTGTCTCGAGTTGGCATTGGAGATTTCACTGACTTCATTGGGGTCAAGCCAAATTTTGTTCTTGCCGCATTTCATAACAGAAGCGGCGAGACGCTTTTGAAGACGCAAGTTACTGGAACAATACAAAATAACTTTGACAGGCCATTAAGAAATATATATATGAAAAACTGTGAATAGTGAAGATGTCGAAGACGCATCAGTGAGTTTTCAATTTAAAACCCCTGATATTTCAGAAATTGCAAAAACAAGTAGTAAGGCAAGATAACCCTTGTAGATAGTGTACAACTAACCACAGAGTTGCACACGATCTATAAAAGTTGGCTTGTCTTATTTGTCATTATGCAACCGATCCTAGCTTTAGCTAGATTCCATGAAGAAATTCATCAAAAACAGTTTTCATTTCTTAGTGGAAACATGTTCGTTAGCATGGATGTGAAAATGCGTAATCTCTGGAGACCTCTTACCACTTCAAGAGTGTTACTTCTTAAGATTCCACCACACATTTCCAAAGTTTTTCTCAAAATGAAGAAAAAAAACAAGTCTAAGCGTATAAAAAGTGATCAAGGCCTGTTTAGATATGTTAATACAGTTTATCACGAGGTTCGGAGAGATGATGACCAACCAGAACAGATGATAATAATTTTTTCGCTAACAAAAAGAGATGCTAGAATTTAATCAAGCCAAAAAATGACCGTGAGCAGAGACTTTGTTGTAGTATCTACCCACTCAACGAACACCAACAAGATGCTTGATAGGAGAGATAGTTTGGAGCTAAATAGAGTAGAAACTTCGTATATTGCTGTTAACAAAAACCATAAGCTACTACATATTTAGCATAAATTATATGCTGAAGAGGCAATTTAACCCAAACATCTGCTTCCCTCACTACAACAAATATAAACGGATAAATTCACTCAGATCAACTAACAATATAGCTGAAATATTTGAAAATTCAGTACGCAACAAAAGTTTAACGGATTAGAAAAAACACGACCTAAAAAAAAGTTTTTTGGCGTGCGCCCTAAAAACCACAAAATACCGCACCAAACCCAAATTTAAAATCAATGGTTAGTAAATTTAATAATTAATTACCCACCTCATTTTGCGTCTGTTTTCCCTTGCGAAATTGGGGAAGCAGTAAGTAGGCCTAAAGTTCAGCGCAGTCGATATGGCTACGCTTAGATGTGCAGGTTGGCACC